AGGGCCAATAAGCACTGTTGTGATGAAGAGCATTGTCTTGTTGCAAGAACTCTTTTAAAGAGTTGGTCGAGATATCTTTATCTACCCACACATTTCTGCTGTTCATACAGTGATCTATAGCAGATGTCCACTTGGATAACCTACTATGCTTTTTATCCATTCCGTCTAACCTTAGACTTTTTGCTGTTACACTCATCATCATTTAATTACAGCATGTGGCATTGTAAGAGCTCTACCATAGAATTACTACATCGTCTTCTTTCCATTCTCCTGACACCAGAGCACAGGCAAAAGCAAATTTTTTAACATTTCAGTTATGAAAACGACTGCATTTGATTCATCAGTGCTCACCACTTCATATCTTCTGAAGTGATGGTTTTAGTTTCTGAAAGTTTATTTCCATTTAGGCTTGTGGAAACACATTTTATCTTAATTTTGCACAGATTGTTGGCATTGAACAGTTATGTGCAAAACCGAGTAGCTCTGTAAGTCAGGGCTCATAATCACCTTTGGAAATGACCTGTTAAGTTTCTAATAGGTTATTTGTATGCACAGTTACTGAAGCTACTTGCTCTGTTGCAATAATTATGAAAAAGATAATGGATAGGAACTCATTTGGGGACAGTTATTCTTGTTAACTGTTTAGTATTTCATTCAGGTACTCCTATTTTCCCTTTTTTCAGTTTTCCTTTCATAATTCTGGAATTTGCCTTGGATAGTTGTTTCAGTTCAGCAGTTCTTTATTTCTTTATGTCCAAGCAGTTTAAAGCCTACCAGACCACTACTGATGTGTTTTACTTCTTCTATTCCAAGTGAAGACCTTAAACAAACATGGCCTCACAGGAGATCTCGCTGCAGTCACTCTCTCTTTATGCTTTTGAATTGTCTTTGCCATTAAGATTTAGCTTTCTTAATACGTATATGGTGCCAGAAGGATGTTTATAAAGATCTATGTGAGTCACCCTAGCATTTTTTTCTTTTATTTCTGCCCTGCTTGCCATTTGATCTCTCTGACTGATTACAGATGTGAAGAAAATACCAGGTTTTGTTTGATTCTCTGTGTTTTGGTGCAAGAAAGAAATGGTGTTAAATTTTGGTGGAGTACTTTCAAATTCATGTATCATCACATGGCTATAGTTGTGTGAGCATGATCTGAGTTCCTGTGACTGGATATAGTGTGCGATTGTAGGCATGCTGCTGTCTGATGTGCTGCCTGCCGTGATTTCACTTTTTGAGTATTTCATATCAAAAGCCATCTCCAAAACAGGATGAGGTGTGGGGGGGATCATCTGACTTATTTGGCTGGTGTAGATAGGTTACAATACACTGAAAATGATCTTCTGTTGCAGCCAGTGCTGCCTGGTTTTTCTTTGGAAGAAGAAATGTTTATAGTCAAAGCTTAGAAAGAAATACTTAGTATTATTTTTGATGCTGTGGAAACACATATAAAATAGTGTATAAACAATACTTACTGATCTATACATACACAGTATCGTAAGCTTTCTTTCCTATATTGCATGGTTGAGGTTAACTTTTGATACCAGAAAGAACTTTTCCTAAAGCATCTCCCTTGGACTTTCTGAGTACTTCGCCATTTATTTTGAATTTTCCGGATGGAGAGGGAGTTTTTCGATGTGCGGCTGCACAATGTCAGCTCCCTCTGGTGGTCAGCACTCACCTGGAGAAATGTCCAGCCAGCCTTCGCCAAGGTGGGCTCCCAGCCAGGCCGTGTTTCTGGCCGCGCATCCTTTTATCCGACACTCCAGTCCTGCCAGCGAACGCTGACAGACCATCCTGGGGCTGTTGCTATACCATGGGAAGAGCCTGCTCTGCTGTCCTCTCCACCACCCTCTGCCCCGCCGCAGAGTTTCCTCCTGTTGAGTATTCTTCCCTTTCTTATAAAAATGGCTCCTTTTCCGGTTAACCCACTTCTGAGTGAAGCAAAATGTATGTGTCCAAGTAGACCCAAAATCAAATGTAGGATGTTTCCATAGCACGGAGAGAGTTAGATCTGCTTTTCATAAGATTCTTTTCATGTACATGAGATTCTTTTCATGTACAAGAAAACATACCATATTACCAAGTGTTAAGTGCATTCATGTTGAACATTCAGGGTTCAAATGCATCAGACTTCTTTACTTTGTCAATATTTCTCTTGCACTTGTAGCATTGAGTGGTTTCTCTCTGATGTCTGACTTCTTGCCCTGCAGTTTCCCCTCCATTTAACACTCCCTTCAGTGTAATCGAAGACTATTTCTTTCTTACTGTTTTCTAAAGCCGAATGTAAACAAACAAAAAATTGCAGTAAGTATTTTTATATACAAAATCAAGTAAGTAAAACTTGATTAAATGTGTGTATAAGTGCACATGCACATACGCACACATCCACATGTTTATGTACATATATAGAAGTAAGCCATGGAAGCTGTACTGGTCCACAAAGGTCGATATTAAATTGCTGTGTTGGAGTAGTGGGTTTAGCTGCCTTGATGAAAATGAGGTTCTATAAATCTAAAAACCTTTTTTTCTGTATTTGTGGGGAGAAAAAAAAAGAACACCTTTAATTTGAATCTGCTGGGCATGAAATGAAGCATGTTTTGTACAACTGTCAAGCGTGGCAATGCTCTGATACCTGAAATTGTTTTAATATTTTACTTATATTTTCTATGAATTCTGTAATTGCTGATTTTTTTTCTATTCAAGCTTCAGCTGTATGATGTTTTTGGTTTTTTTTTTTTGTTGTTGTTGCTGTCTGATATTTAAAATTCAAAACAAAAGGAAGCTACTTTAAAAAGAAGGAAGTTTTAAGTTTTACTGAGCAAGACCAAGACTGCTGTGATGCTTTAAGGTCTAGAAATGTTGCGTGTAATTGTATGCCCTGTGAGTGGTCTCATTAGTTTACCTACAGCTGGTTTCAGTATCTATAGTTAAGCACATATGCCTGAGTGTTTCTGGGGCTGGGGTCTGTAAGGCGAACCCAGCACCTCTTTTCCTGGGTGAGATCACCTGATTTCTGTGCCAGTGTGAATTTGGGGGAATTCACTGACTTCAGAAGGGGGTTTAATCTGGTTTTACATTTGTTAGTCTGGTTTTACATGACATACCCAAGTTTCTTCCTTTCCTCTTCCTTTACATACTTATATTATTTCATATTAACATGTAAGTATGGATGTGATATATCAGGCCAGACAATTGATTTGAAATATGCTTTTGTTTTTACTAATGGTAACATTTGTTTTGCTGGTGAGGTTATTTGTCAATAAACAATACTACTTCATCTGAGGAAGTATTTGAGATGGAGGGTATTAATTTCATGTGAAGTTTCTGAGACTCTCTTTACCCCCCTCCATCCTGCCCACTGCTGCTTTCAGGTGCAATCCAGTGCCCAAAATAAAAGACGGTTGGTGTGATACGCAGCATCGAGCAGGAGCTGACTTGTAACTAATAATGAGTGTTTTCTCACACTCTGTCTAGACAGTCAGTCATGTAAACACAAGATGTCTTTAATGGTATCATCTGATGATGTGAAATGCTAGTCTTCCAAAGTGTGTATTTCCACAAATGCCAAAGTACTGATTAGGGTAATAAATTGTACTACTTGAAGATTGTCAGTGTACAACACTGAGATAGGGGAAAAGCCTATCGTTTCACTTTTCTGTCGCTGGTAGTGGCAGTAAGTAACAGTGCCAGCACTTGAGCCAGGGTTTCTGGGGGGAATATGTTTCATTATATGTTTTTTATTGGTGGATTATTACCTGTCTTGGCTGGCTGAATAGAAACCAAGGAGCTAGTATGCCTGGTGACAGGATCACCGATTCTCGTGTACGCCAGCCGCGCTACTAGAGCAGTCTGAACGCCTCTGGTTCTCACGAGGCAAAGAACCTAGATCTATACAAGAATGTTTATACCATCTGACTTAGCAGCCTTAGGAATTAGTAAATTAGAGTCTCTAACTCTTCTTTTCACTGATTATATGGGGAGTCTGATCTGCTAATTTAGCTATCTGTGTTAGATGGCAGAAATTAGCAGCGTTCCTCGAACTAGACTGGTACTTGCTGGAGAGGGAGTTGGGCTGCCCGTGCTTTCTGTCTTACAGGTAAACTCTTGCTCCCCAGGCCTGTGCATCTGGCCTAGCAGGACAAACTTTTCATCATTTGAAATGTCACTGAGAGGAATTAGGTTCTTGGATGAGTAAAATGGCGCAATCTGATAGAGCCGGGGTTTGAGAGCTTGATCCACGAGGTGGGGAGCAGTCTGACCCAGACTGGCCAATACCACTCCACGCCTTAGAGGATCTTGACTTGTCCATGGCAAATTCTACAGTTTAAAAACAAGCAAAGCTGGATGTATGTATATCCATGACCTTCTCAGTAGTCCCTATGTCATCTTTTCAGATGTATAACCATGGAATATGTCACCTCCTACATCCATGTTTGATTCTTTTTGAGCCTAAAGGACTTCCGGCATGTTTTATAAATATAAGTGATGCCTTTTAAAAGTACAGCCATAATAACTTTTGTGCTGGCAGAGTAATTTAATACCTGAAGTTGCCCTGAATCTAAATAAGTTATTTTAGGTTATTTTATCTAGTCTGTATTGGAGACTTCAGTTCTAGTTAAATCTAATGGAATACCGGTATCAGTACTCTCTTAGGACTTTTCTAAAATGGGTACAGCTATGCTTTTACACTTTGTGTAAGTGCATTAAAAATAAACGAGTTCATATTTATTTTGCTTCAGACTTTTAGCTGTGTGTAACAAACTATTTACTGTTAATTTAAGACCATACAAACTTTGGATTAAAGACATAAATACGCTTATGGAGAGCAAGTTTGGAAATTTTAATTGGTGTTGGGAGAAAGAATGTTCTTACTTCTGGTGGGAAGGACCTGTGCTATGTGTGATTGAATATGTAAGAGCATATAATTAATTCCAATTCAATGCTGATGACATGCGAGTTTCTTAGATATCGGTCTAACTTCCTCTGTAGTTTGTCAAATAATGTGCAATCCTGACAGGGGTAGGTCTTCCAGAGAAGTGGTATAAAAAGGAAACGAGTTACTGATCGGAAAGCCTTTGGGAACCTGCATCCGAAGACACTTGGGTGGTTTCCTCTATAAGTATAGGAGAAGTGAAGGGAGTGATTGCTAATGTGGAGCCGTTGTCACCTCCATAGCTTGTAGGGGAGGCCAGGGAGTGGGTTTGTTCAGCGGTTGCTCTGATTGTTCTTCAGTTCTTCATGCTGGAGGCAGTAGGCATCTTCATTTCACTTGGGCCTCAACGTTCAGTGAGCTGGTTTTGGAATAGCAGCAATAATAGCTCCTGTGACGTGAAAGACAACCACTCAAAACACACAGTTCTTAGTTTGTTAGCTGTCAACAAAATGAAGTAGAAAAGATAGACGAAACAATGTAAATAGGAAAATAGTGTTTCTGTAATGATATTGGGACTATTTGCTTATTTAACTGCATTAGTTATGCATACAGAGAGGCATTTTCACAATGCTTGGTGGGATATTTAGAATAAATCCACATTGTCTTTGCCTTTGTTACAGGCCAACTGGTATGTATTCAGCCATGACAAGGGAACTTGTAGACTTTATTTTCTGAGGGCTTATGGAAACTTATGACAGCTGCCACAATTTGACCCTTATTTTGCTTGTCTGTTCTTGCTAAAGTATTTCATAAACCGTTATGGTGGCAGTAGATCTAGATTTAGAATGTATTCTTCTTCCCTGCATTCCTTTGTATGTTCGAGTGATTTTTATATGGTAAAATTTGCAAAGCCAGTAAGAGGGAAGGAGAAAAGAAGCATTTAAAAAAAGTGCAATTCTGACAGCAGTCAGTTTTTAATTATTAAATAACTGAAAGTGAATTTATGATAGTTTTGAAACGGTCAAAACATGTCAGATTGTTAAATGAGAGAAAAAAGATTATTTTTCTAATTTTTTTCATCTTTTTAAATGAAATTATATGGTAGACAAGTTTATTTCTTTCAGGAGAAAATAATATGTCCAAGCAAAGCCAAGCCGTAACATTTTTGTCTCAACTCTGAGACTGAACTCAGGCATTGCTTATTTTATAATATGTGTAACTATCTGGCCTTCAGCTGCTAAACCATGAGCGTGGGACGTGTTTTTTTGCCAGTCAGAACCTTGAACCCTAGAGAAATGAGAGTGCTTCTGCATTTTTGGTTTGTTGTCGTGATGGTAGGACCAGTTAAGGTGCCATTATGGATGAAGAACAAGATGCGAAGCATTGTCTGTCATTCACCTACTTTACATCATGCACAGGCTCTTCCTACCAAAACCCGGAGACAGTAGCACAGAAATCCCTTTCAGCTTTTGGGAGACAGAGTGGAGATTGCATTATTCTCAAGGCTTTTTTTAGCACATCTCAAGAAAGCTCTGATAAGTTGTCCTGAGATAACTTCAGTGAACTCCCAGGATGTAGAATTTCTTCTAACTCCTGCATATTAAATAAGAAGAAATGGGCAAACTGAGTGTACTTTCATTTATTCTGAAGAACAGCTGGGGATATGAAATGTTCAACTACCTGAGCAGAGGAGAATGAAGATGAGACTGCAGAAAAGTTGTGATCTTGCTCTTGCAAAAGGGTCATCTTCAGTATGTGAGCTTCATACCTGGCATGCTAAAGGGGCAGTGAAACATTATGTCATCTTGAAAACTTTACTGTGCATGTCCGCAACTCTCCCCACACGTATTCTTATTCCTGGTGGATAAAGCTTGCAGGGGTAATGTTTTGTTTCAAAAGAGAGTCTGAGCTGCTTTCTGATGCTGCCCTTCTGCAAATCACCTAGGGAGTAAAAGTTCTCCACTGGGCAACTGGAAACTTTCTAGGCCAATAATGTGACTGCATCTGGTGCTGACAGAAAGTTACGTCTATATTACGCTTGTTTGAGATCAGTTGTTTATAGCACAAAAACATCCGTTATGGTTAGGTCCTTGTTGTTTCTTTAAGAAAAAGTCAAAAGGGCCAAGAGACGAATGGAACGAAGACTGGATGGGTCTCAGACAACAAGTCCCAGGCATGCTTGGCTGGGAGAGGTTCTGCACCAGTGTCATCCAAACATCGTGTTTTGTGGCTGCGTCGTAGGACTTCCAGGTTTCCCCAGGCATGCATTGCACAGGACGGGTAGACTTTACGATATGTGTCGGGCTTAACGCTGTGTATTCTTGAATAAGTCCTTTTCAGCTAAGGCAAATACCTTGTAATATTGTTCTGCTCTGAGTAGTGACTGGTCTGAGAGTCAGGAGTTGTGGGTCTTCAGCTTGCAACGATGCTGTGTGACTTGGCCAGGTCCAAAGGAAGAAAGGTTCTTTACTGACTATAGCGTGATAGCATTATGGATCAAAGAGCTGTGTAATTTGTCCTCTTAGGTGGACTTGGTTTCTGTCTCGCAGTTCATAACTGCTGTGACTCACAACCTGTAGTTAGTTACCTGCTTGCAAATTCCATGCTAATCCCTCTCAGCATAATCAAAGTAAGTCCAATGCCATCTAGGTAACCATCACCGGTATTAAATCCCAAAGATTTAGGTCTCTATTCATATAATTTGAGTGATGGAGGCGGGTTCTAATCCTGTGTGTCATATGCAGGGTTTGTTCTTTCTGTGAGTTTATAGGAAACAAGACAATGGGCTCTTTTAATTCGGCAGTTTTTATTTTTAACATGTTGGCACAGAAGTAATAAGTACTGTACAATCGATATAGAGCGTCTTTTAAGAATCTTTCATGCCTGAATACACATCTGGAACTGTTTGCACTAACTAAAAGTAAAATAAATGCCACAGCGTATTATACTATACTTTTTTTCATTTAAAAAAGGAAATTGAAAACACACCACTCCTAGAAATGCTTGACATTGAATTGGCTATTGAAATGGTATCAGTAAAGTATTTATATATTCCATATTTTGTTCCATACATCAGCTTTCCTTGATGCGTTAGACTTGGAAGGGTGCCACATGAGCTGAAATGTTGCCATGTATGAAAGACCGCCTTGTTTTAAAAATGAACTAAATCTTTTAGGGTATAGGAAGTAAAATCGGTTTGAATACATCCACATCTCTCTTTGCCCTTGCCCCCTGCATGTTTTACTTTGTCCCTTCCCTATTTGTCTTCAGAAGCTGGCTGTGCTTACGGTAAATATCAATGTTCACCTAACAGCTAAATATAGTGATAAAAATAACTCCTACCATAAAAACTGAATGAATGACAAGAACAGTATAGTTTCATGAACCAAGAAATCCACAGAAGAAATATCATAATTTAAAGTTGGTTTTACAACATTCTTTAATTTAAAACGGAGCAAAATACTTCTGTGGTAAAATCAGAGTTATTCACTCTGTGCTGTAAAAGAGATTCAAGAATATATATTTCAAAATGTTTGGGTTTTTTTATTTTTTTAAATAAAAATATAATCCAAAGCAAATGCAATAGATCTCTGCATACTTGAAACATATTTTCTGAATTTATTCTAAGTCTCTCACTGCACCAGAGGGTTGTGTGTATGGATTAGGACTAGACCATTATTTCACCATCTATCTCCATCCTGAATTGATTGCAGCAAGCACTGCAGAATGAATTGCAGATGTCTCCTTTTCCCCCTCCGGTTTGGAGGACCTCTGGTTTCAGCCCCATTTGATCCCAACTGGGCTAAGGAGTGCAAGTCTGTCACTGTTTAGAGGGATTTGGTGCAAGAAATCTTTGCACCTGAAAGAAGTTACTCTCTCTGTATACTCAGCCTGCACTCTGAAATGTGTGATGCTGTGGGATACTGCCTGTATGAAACTTTCTGGTGTGTCCCTGATAATTCAGGGTTGTTTGTAATGTCAGAGTCCAATAGAAAATAAAATAAAATAGTCAGAACTACCTTTGCAAATGGGGAGTTTGGTTTGACACGAAAGCATAAAAATGTTTTTGAATTCAAGAAATTAAGGAATTTCAAGACATGGTCTTCCTTAATGTTCCTCCAAATTTCAGGCAAAGTTCAGTGTATATGCTCCTGTATTATAAAACCAGAGCAAATGTACATGAAATCTTACACAAGCAAGTTTTCATATGTGAAAAATACAGCTTTTCCTCTTGAGGGATTCTTTCTTCCCCTACCAAACCCTCATCGCTTCTGAATGTATGGATAGCAGAATATTCACAGAGCATTTGCATGAAAAATGTCTATACATAAAAACCCTCATGGAATAACATGGTTTACAGGAAACTTGGCTTGTGAATACGATTTAAATATTGTTTTGCCTTTAGCTTTCATATCATCAGACTGTTTTTCAACAATTAGAGTAAAAAGTGTTGGTTGTTGGGTTTGTTTTGTTTTGTTATTTAATTAAAAAAATAAATAATGATTTGTAGAAGCTGGAATTCTAGGATAAGTATCAGACACTACAAGCTTTTGGACTTCAGATAACAAGAACTGGTAAGGCTTTTACCAGCGGTGGCTCTGCTTTGTGCTCTCCTTCATCTCCTGAGAGATCTGCCTCTTCAAAACAAAGCTGCTGAGGGTCTCTGGGGTTGTGGGTGGTGGGACAGCGGTGGGTGCAGAGCTGCTGTAGTTAGGTGCCCCCAGGCCCATAGCTCCCTCAGAGGTTAGGGAACCAGCTGTAGAGGCGAGGAACAGGTAAATAGTAGCAGTCAGAGCAGAATGGGTCCTGCAGGCGTTGTGCTATTGAAGAGGGTGGAAAAATGGGATGTAAAGGCTGTTCTCCTGGGCAATGTGGTGGTGGTGTCTTCCAAGCACGTGGAAGAGCTTTGTGTTTTGCATTGTACTTCTCCAAAAGCCCTTTTTTCCCTCCCCAAGGGGAGTCTCTGCTTTGACAAGATAATCTTGTAGCCTGGTTAGAAATGTTTTGAGGTGTGCTTGAAAGGAGCCTTATGTCTCCTTACAGAAGGCAGGGCTAGGGAACCTATGGACAACCAGAGATAAATCTGTCTGCCTGTGATCATACAGGAGCAAAGTGGGGTTTAGGGCTTTGCAAGGGGGAGAGAGAGGTTAAGCAAAGGTAAGTGGCCTGTAGAGAGGTTTTTTTCCCCTACAAGGTCCAAAGAAATGTAATTAGGAAAATTAAGTCTATTGTCATTAGATTTATATGAGAAGTACCAGGGGTCTGTGGATAATTTCAGCGATTTGCAAACCGGGTGGCAGACGCTGTTTGAGGGAGTAAAATCCAGGTGGATCACGGCAGAATGGCAATCTGAAATTGGAGAGCAAAACCAACACACTATTTCCCACTACCGTGTTCAATTTAAGTAACAAAACATTGCCAGCTTTTTGGGAAAGCCTCCCCCCGGCAATCTGAGCGTGTTTCTGATCAAACCTGAACTTTGAAATGCAGCAAAGGAGAGGAGCAGGAGCCGTGCAGTTGGTTACAGGCTCGGGATTGCTTTTAGTTATCAACAGCTGAATTGGAGGATACAGGCTGTGCCTGCTCACTGCGAGCAGCAGGCTGTTAGAGGAGTTCGATTTCTCTCACTCCTTCTTCCACCCACCTCCATCTCCTCTGTGCCTGTGTCTGCGCTCCCACATGCTTCAAATCTGTGTACCTGGACTGCCTTCCTTAACAGTTCAATGTGAGTGTTAGCAGAATGAAAACCAGATGGACCAGCAGTTCCCACTGTTATCTCCCCACCAGCTCTGGCAAGCCTCCCTTTCTCTCTCCTTTCTTGGCATGGCAGAAATATTTGCCTTTATTTAGGAGGGCTTGGG